CCTGGCTTTCCTTGAAAGTGCAGTGATGTGCTGGATCCAGCATCGGTTTTGGCTCCAGGGTGAAATGCCCAATATGGGCAGCAGCATTCGAGAAGCCAGGGAAATGCTGGCAGCCTGATGTTGCTGCCCCTGGCTGACGAGAGTGTATTTCCTGGGGTTATTTTTGGTTGAACACCTGAAGGGTTCAGGGCATCTTGACCTGCGTTCGGGTGTTTAGATGGCAGCAGGAAATGAGGCCGATTTTCTCTTTTTTAAGTTGTGGTTCTTGTCTTAAGGTGTTGTGTGCAGATCAGGGATATGCACGCAGCCGCGGCTTGACAAGTCAGAAATGCGACAGGTGTGGAATATGGTTCAAGTTTAGGAACTGCTCTGGTAATTGATATTAAAAATGACACCAGAAAATGTTCCATTGCAGTAATTGCCTGGAGAGTTGAGTATGTTTTTGCTTGCAACATGGTGCTTTCTTAATGTCACTCCTGCACTTTAATTTTCATTTAAAAGATCCCTGAAGGTGAGCATCTTTGGAATTTGTATATGTTGTCATACAAGTGGTCGATCAGCTGTTATTCCTTCTGTGGATTTGGGGGGGGGGGCAAAAAAAGCTTTAGATCAAGGCATGTTATGTTCTTCTTTTTAATGATCATTTTTAAGGTAATCTGTGGTTGACCATAAGGCTTGAGCACATTTTGAATCCATAGCCAAAGCACCCCTACTTACCTTTTAAGGTAGTGAGAATCATTACTCAGTGACTGGGAAGTAAGGGTTTCCTTGGGGCTTTTTGGGGGGGTGGAGCCACTTGCCTCTTTCGCTCTGCAACAACACTTCAGTGTTGAGTTGCTTTACACTCCTTGTTTTTCTTAGCTTGTACATTGGAACTGCTAGAAAGTTTAAACTTTCTAAACTGCTGAAATGATAAGTTCTCAAAATTCAACGTGCACATTCGCAAAACGCCTGGATGAAGATAAAGGAAGTGGAAGGAGGCTGATGGTTTTAGCTACTCACTGTATGGCGTTTCCATCATGCTCCTAATGACGGCTCATCTTTTTTTACCTTTTTTTTCTTTGTAAGTAGCATCTATTTGAGGCTGTTTTCTAAATTTCTTTTTTAACTATTCTGTGGAAAAAAGTATTTCTTATCTATTATAAAAATTTACTAACTTATTCATTTTGTGTGTAAAAATAATACAATTTACTTGATTCTCTTTTGGTGTTGCCACGTGCCGTTCATTGTAACTGATACTCTGAGGTAGGAGAAGGGCACTGGCAATCTCATGAATTTATTTCTCACCTTTTCATTGTCTTCATGTACATGTTGAAAAAAACTAATTTCACTCCTTTATTGTAGGCTTTATTGTCACCATATTTTCAGGGGTGAAGTTAGAAAAGGGGCAAAGCTAGGATGTATGAGAGATTGTACCCATTTCTGTGGGATTTTTGGTTCTGCTTGTTTGGTTTGGGTTTTTGATATGCGTGGATTGCCCTTTCTTTCTACATTTAGCCCTTTTGGGGGGGTGGGTGTATATATATTTTTATTTTATTTGAACTTCTTCACAGTGCTTTGCAAGTGATAAAAACATCAATGTGCTGGAAGAAGCAGGAATTGAGGCACAGGATTGCTTGCAGCCTTGCTCTGGACCGTATCACCCGGCTAATAGTATCATTGTCTGAAGCTGAGTGACAGACTGGAGGGTGCTGGACTGCTTTGGACTGAATTGGACTGAAGCTGGGAAAGGTTGACATCAGTTTCCATTTTGTTGGCTCTGGCTCTGCATCTCCTGTCTTTCTGAACTGAGCAGCTGCTGATGCTTCCGCATTTTGCAAAGGCAGGTGAAGGAGTGAGATGGGAGCTTTACCACAAAATGGGTGTTACTTTGGGATCCCTCTGTAACGGCTGGGGAGCGGAAACGTCATTAGTGAGCCTTTCTGATGAGCCCTCACGCTTTGGGGTGGAAGTGAGCTGGAAGTGGTGTGGCAGTCCCAGTGCGCGCAAGGGTACAGCAAAGGAGTCTCCTATTAAAAACAAAAGTGAAGCCTGCTGCAGAGGTGGTTCTGTTGAATGATGCTGAGGCTGTTACTCCTGCATCGTGTGGGGGCATGCAGTGAACTTGCAGCATGTTGGTCACATCAATAACCTGTCTTACTGAACGTAGCACACCTGTGATTTGTTGTAGCTCTGTGGGCTCTTACTCACTGTTGTTGTTGATACTGCTGCAAAAAATCAGGCAGGAATCCAGTGTTACTACTATTCGGGGCTTTTACCCTGAGTGACTGCTTTTTCTGTTTCTGTCTGCTATGATGGAGGTGTAAATCTCTTGCCTGAGCTGCTACAAATCCACTTCTCAAATACAACTTTTTAATTTTTTTTTTAGGTTTGTTTTGTTTTTCTCCTATGAAGTTGTTGGCGGAGGTGTGCTTTCTGCTCTGAAGTTTTTGTTACGCTTGCCGTTTCTGTGTAAGCTGTCTTTGAAGTAGCCATCTTCTCTCTGCTTTGCCAGTTGCCCAGGCAGAAGTCCAGGCTTCCTGGGTGTTCCCTCCTGCAGTTGTCTCTCTCAACCTCGTGTTTGACCCTACTTTAATTGAATGTTCATGTTGTGCTCTGCAGTTAGCTGTCTTTTGTACGGACTGAAAAGGTTTTATTGCTGCATGTTTATATAGACTGTAAGAGATGAGAATTGCCTGCCATAAGCTTTCAGCACCTTTTAACAACTGCTCAAAAATTAGTCTGAACATAAAACCAAAGCAAGCACTTGCATTTCTTGCTAAGAAATGGAAGTGAGTAACACTGCTCGGCACACCTAAATGCATCTTTTCATCATCTCCCAAGGTCTTGGTAACATGCCTGATGGTCTGTAAGCCAGGGCTGTTTGGAACTGAAGACTGCCAGCAGAGAAAGTGTTGCCACGGGCAGAACCTGCTCCTTTTTAAGGGAGGATTGTATGCTCCGGGGGGCTGGGTTTGGCTGCTGGAGTACAAGCTCTCAAATAGGCAATACCATTTCATTTGCTCTTGATTTAAGTCCATGCCTTTAAACTTCATGAGTTGCCAATATTCCTCTAGTCCTCCCCACACTACTCAGCAGTTAACTTCAAGTCTGGTGCCCCCAAAACATGTACAAAGACAAACCCTTCTGCCCCAAGTGCCTTCTACCTGTCAGACAGCTTTTGCCTAAGAGATTCATGGAAGTTTCTTCACCTGAGTGGTGCCTGCACAAGCCACCTTACATTGCTATCTGGAAGTGAAGTCCTGTGGTGTTTTGGGTATTTTGTTTTTGATGTCGCTCTTCTGTTGGACACTGGTCTTTGTATACAGCATGGCTGCCTTGCCTTCCCAAGGTTGCTTGAGCTGTGAGAAGGTGAATTAATGTGAAATTAATCGTTATGTAATGGGAATTTACAGCTTGCTTAAGTGATACAAATGACACCTTTTGCTGTCCCGTGCTGTTGACCACTGTGTCCATCTGTCTTCCCTCCAGGTTAAATACCTGGCTCAGAAGTTCTGTATCTACCTGCTTGAAAACTGCACACATCGCTTCCTTTTTCAACTTCCAGGAGTGTGGGCAATGTCTTTTTATAACAGATAGGTCAAAAGGATTGTTTTAAACTTTGAGTGATCATTGCATTTAGATTCAGTAAACTCACTCTCTTAAATATAAAGGCTGATGAAAATTTTCACTAAATTAAACACTTGTTCTGCAAACAATTCGATTGCAATCTCTTCAAAGCCTTTGGACAGGCTTCTTTTATCTGGAAATCTTGTTTATCCCATGGTCTTTGGATAATCTCAAGACCCGTTGTACAGTAACTAACGTGGGGGGTTTATCGAATGGGATATTTAGCTGTGTTGCTTTTTTTAACGGCATGTGGTTTTGTTTAAGAAATGAAGCTGCTTACATTTCAGGTGTGGCCAGGCTGGCACTTCTAATACTGCAGGCATTTCAGGTTCAGCTGTCTGTAACCTACTTGTGCCTATCTTCTGCTTTAAAAAAAAAAAGTTGTCTGTTCTTGCAGAGTCATCTTTTATTTCTTTTCTCTAATGATTTGCTCATTCAATCCATTAAAAAGATAGGGGTGATTTTCATTTACTATTAATTGTAAACTGTTATTGGTTCTTATTTAACAAATCTAACATTGAATATTATAGAATGGCAGGACTTACAAGAATGTATATGGATTTCTGTTGGCACTTGTTTGGAGTATATAGCTGATCACTATTTTGATCTTTCTTTTATTAAATAGCAGTGCTGAATTTTCTTCTTCCCCGTTCTCTGTATGCATTACATGTTCAAAAATCAATTTCAGAAAGCTCAATACCTTTTTTTTAATGGAACTGGTGCAGCGCCACAGAAGTATTTCTCAGTGATACCCTTGATCACTTCTCAAACTTCTGAAAACCACATTTCTTGTGAACTAAGCAGTGATCAGATGATTTAAATTAAATGGCATCAGTCACCATTTTCTGTGATTGTCCCTATTTAAAATCTGCCTTTTCTTTTGCATGGATGCCTCTGGGATTTTTTGCCTCCCTGTTTTGTTTGTTTTTTCTTTTTTTTTAAGGTGAGTTATATTTCTAAATCCTTGACTTACTGTACATCCACCTTATTTCCTGGCCTCCACCCATCTCTCAGCTAGCGACTGCCACCATGGCAACTCTTCCTCTGGCTGAACAGATGGGACATTGAGTCTCCTCCGAGAGCAGAGCGCCGCTCATGCCCTGCTGGGAATCAGCTGGCGGGTGGCACCCCTTTCTGCAAAATTTAAAGCAAGCTCTGCCCACCAGAGGCATGCTGGTTTTGAGGGTGCTCAGTTTCACAAATAACACTGTGGTCTAATAGGTGTTTGCAGGAATAAAACGTAGTGGCTGAACTGGGATTATCTCTGTGCCTGAAAGCTCTTCAGAGGAGCTTTGCCTCTAGTGCGAAGAGCTTGGCGTCAGCCAGCAGCCGGCGATTTTCTGGTAGAATGGTTGCCATCAACTTTTTTTTTCTCTTTAGGATGCGTCAGGATGAAACGCCACAGGCATCTAAGCACCAGTGACAGTTCAGACAATGAGAGTAAGTAATACCTACTAGTTTTTCTTTGGTCTATCACCCCCTTGTGGTTTCCTTCTGTGGTTTGAGGGCAAACCGTTTCACCTCTTACAATTAAAAAAAAAAATGTTTCTTGCTTGATTTCTTTTTGCGTTCTGTAGTCTTTGGTGTTCTGAATCCCGTTATGGGAGGAAAATGAGGTGAAGGATCCTGTAAACCTGGAGGGAGTTTTGAGTCTACTTAGAATTTGAAGAGAAACTTGTATGTCTTTCCCTTTCAGAGTTGGCAAAAAGAAATCTGTAATGCAAAAGAAATTTTACTGTCCAGGGTCCTATTTTGTAATTTATTTTTTTTAAAGGAGTCCTGTTGTTGTGCAGAGCCTCAACTTAAAAATTACTGGGGGTGGCATGCTATTTGAGCATTGGTATGTTAGTGTTATATATAAGATAGAGTTATAACCAGTATATTGATTGTTATGTTATCTTGTACTGGTTCTTGATCTACTCCACTTTGGTCTGTTACACAATTTAGTAAAGTTTTATATTTTAAATGTTCCTTGGCACACATGTGCCTGAGGTTGCATCTTCCCATTTTATCTGCAAAAAAAACCCCTGTATGGCAGGGTCTTGTTTGTTTCGTATAAATCTGTGCCTATCTAATAACTCTGTACATAATGATGATTCATTGTCATATTTGTTGCGAGTCATCAATGTATCCTGTACTGAAATAACATTTTGCCCAGAAATGTCTAGACATCACACTGATTTTTTGCATCTCTCATCAGCACGCTTTAGTGTCATTGCTTTTTTGTTTGTTTTTTTAGCACTTGCAAACTCTGTCCTCGGTTTTGCTCCTCCTTCCACTTCGTTAGAAAGTAAATGAAGGAAAGTGGTCTGCCTGCTTGTTTCTGTTTACTCATGCTTGTATTGAGCAGAGCAGAATGTACCCATAAACTCAGTGTGCTGTGGTTTTACAAATAACGAGTGGAACAGGAGGAGCTGTAATCAAGCCTACAGACTGCCTAAGAGTTTTTTGCCCACGTCTTGTCAAAGAATTATGATAATTCAAGAGATTGGAGTGCCTTCTGTTTTACTGAAAAATTAAATGAATTGAAATGAGCTATAATGGTCCTTTTTGTTTTTTTATTATTATTTTTAAACAGGTCCTTCCACTTCCTTTTCTTCTTGTTCTAAATACAGGAGCAAGTCAAAAACACCAGCAAATGAACAAAAGAAACCTGCTGAGGTAAGAACCAGGGTTAAAGATTGGTCCCTGATAGTTTTCTGTCATGTAGTGTTCATGTTTCTAAGCCTTGAAATAGTGAGCTTTGAACTAGTGCCAGTGAGTCCTTTTGTCACCTGTCAAATTCTCCATGAAACTGTGTTTTCCCCACCGTGTGAGTATTGTAGGAGCTCTGGTGTTTGATGTCCCAAAATGACTTATGGCATTTGCAGACAGTAACATGTAGTTCTTTCTTCCCCTGAAATTTAGTCTCATTTTGAAACTGAAAAAGCTGGGATGGTCTTATGATTTGAGAGCATGTGTCATGGTTTAACCCCAATTGGCAACTGAGCACCGCCCCCCCCCCCCCCCCCCCCCCCCAAGTGGGATGGGGGAGAGAATCGGAAGGGTAAAAGTGAGAAAACTCGTGGGTTGAGATAAAAACAGTTTAATAGGTAGAGCAACAGTCACGCACGCAAGCAAAGCAAAACAAAGGAATTCATTCACTGCTTCCCATGGGCAGGCAGGTGTTCAGCCATCTCCAGGAAAGCAGGGCTCCCTCACGCGTAACAGTTACTTGGGAAGACAAACGCCACCACTCCAAACATCTCCTCCTTCCTTCTTCTTCCCCCAGCTTTTATACTGAGCATGATGTCACATGGTATGGAATGTCACATGGTGTGGGATATCCCGTTGGCCAGTTTGGGTCAGCTGTCCTGGCTGTGCCCCCTCCCAGCTTCTTGTGTCCCTCCAGCCTTCTCAGTTGGTAGAGCATGGGAAGTTGGAAAGTCCTTGACTAGTATAAACACTACCTAACAACAACTGAAAACATCAATGTGTTATCAACATTGTTCTCACCCTAAATCCAAAACACAGCACTGTACCAGCTACTAGGAAGGAAATTAACTCTATCCCTGCTGAAACCAGGACAGCATGCCACAGAAAGAAGTTGTTCCTGCATATGTGTATGGGACGATACTTTCTTTCTGTTTTAGGATGAAACAGTGGGGCACTTCAGTGGGAAGGATATGTATGAACAGTGCTTACTTATCTTCTGCTGCTTTCTCACTCTTGGCTTTTTACCTTCAATAAAGCTTTTTTACTCTGCCATCCCCACTTGTTAGGACCTCTACACCTATCGCCACTGTCACTGAGTCTCTATTCACCAATTAAATAAATTGGCATTTATGCACAATCCAGTGCTCAAATCCATCCTATCAGCCATTCCACTGGTAGCCCTTTTTGGGGAAGATTTGTTGGCTGCCTTCTCCGGATTTGATGCTTGCTTTCTCAAGGGCTGAAGTCAGATAATAACTGCAAATGGGAGAAATGTTTCTTGTAGCTAATTCCCCTTACTTGCTATCACATTCCCTCTGAATGAGTCCTTCAACATGCTAGTATGACTGTTGATGCCTGAGGTTACTGAAAAAAAGACTGACAAAACCCACTTTGCTTCTCTAGAATTTAAAGCTGAGAGTTATGTCCCAGAAGTAATTTTGTGTACTATACCAGCATCTTTTTTCCTGCTTGGATACTACTGTGAGAGGTTGCATAAACTATATAGATTGTGCTCATACAGCAAAAGCTATTCAGCAAACATACTTCATGCTTCTTTTCTGAATGCTGTTAACTAGATGAGTTTGGTTTGGTAAGAACAAGGTAAATGTTACAGGACATGTCCTTTCTTTGGAAGCTTAGTTTTTATCACAAGTTAATTGAAGAAAACTCACTGATTTGTTTCTAAAAGACAATCTTACATGAGTGTTTCAATAAAAGCAAAATTGGCCAGAACTAGATACATAGTGTTTTATTTACAGCCACCAACAGGGTTAAGAAAAGCCTACTATGCTTTTTACCTTTAAAATGTTGGTCTGAGGATTATGGTCCTGTAAAAATTTTAATCTTAAAACAGCTCGTGGCTACTGAGGTCTTGTAGTTGTTGCTCATGTTTGCCTAGGCAGTAGCTTTGTTACTAGCCAAGGTGGGCAAATGGGAACTGAAACACATACGCTGCCAGACTTGTTGCTGTTTCAAATACACCTCAGTGCTAGTCCCTTACCAATCCCTTCTTTCTGCCCAGCCATCCAGCTTTCTTCTTGTATCTATTCCTCTTAGGGATTGTCCTATTACTGTTTTCTTTGCCTTTGCTCCATGCTGTCTTTATGTGCGTATGTATGTTATAAACAATAATTATGAAGATGTGGTCCATTTATATAGCATACCAATGTTCTGTTTACGTAACTTCTAGGAGTTAAAATGAGCAGTGCTTTCAGTTCCTCCTCTTGAGATCTTTCCTGCTTTCCACCTGTTCCAAGACAGAATCTTGAGCCCTTTAATGCTTGAAAATATGAAACTTTGCAGAACAAAATCTGGAATATACACTTGGAATTAAAAAAGTGTATTTCATAACATCACCCTTCCAGTAATACTGGCACCTTTTTGTCATCTTTCATTTAAGATCCCCCTCCCGGGGAGAAAAAAAAAAAAAAAGAAAGAAATCTCAAACCTTAGTATATGTCCTCTTCTGGAGGAGTGTCCCAAGTACAATATTTAAAAGAACCCTGAAAAAAAAAATAAAGTCCTCTGGGAAAGGGAATGGAAGGGAAGTTGACAATAATAATCTCTACCGCTTATACGTAAGACTCTTGGCTATCCTTCCAGTTTTTCCTTTCCTTCTGCTAGAAGCAAGCACTCCTTCCAACCCCTTGAAAAGCATGTACTGGAGAGCGTGTATTACATGAAATGCTGTTGTCAGCAGAGCATTGAAATTGATTATTTATGCACCAAGTGGTGACAAGGGTGTAAAGCAAAGACTGAAGAGAGACCCCACCACACACCCTTCCAAAAATCATGTTGTAATTCCACAAGTTTTTTGTAGTTGTCTAATATCTATTAGATAGAAATTTAAAATTTCAGGCTGACAGCATCCCTTTAGCAAGGGCTCTCTCTAACAAGTTGGCATTGCTCTCCTTTCATTCACCTCTGCTTGCCAGGCAGCAGGCTGTTTCTTGAGTTAGTGATGCAGAAAATCTAAAAGGTCAAAGCTATAAATAGCTGTTCGGGAATATTTCTGCTCGTGGTCTTCATACATTAATTTTTCTTTCATGCAAGTAAGCCTGCCTTTCTCAATTAAACTGCGTGTGAATACATAGGCTTTTTTCCACTTCCTCAATCATCTCCAGCCCAACCCAAGTACCTGGGTTCTCTCTCCAAATAAAAGCTCGATTTTGGTACTGTGACCAACAAGCAAGTTAGTGTATCTGTCAGTTGCTTCACAGGACTTGTCTGTATGTGCCGTGGTCCTCTGTGGTCGCCTATAAAAAATGACGAGTGGCTGCAGTTGAGGACTGCTCTGCCTTGAATTGCCTCCCAGGTGCTTCAGAATCGAGTCGGGTGCGGGGATGGCCTCAGTGGAGCGAGGTTGTCTGGTGTTACTGCAGGGCAAAGGGATGCAGTGTCAGAGTGCAAATGTCGAAGCCTGTTTCCAGAGCCTGACTTACCCCAGGAGTTTACATCAATGTAGAAAGGGATGTTACTGGGTCGCACCTGGGCTCCGCTTGCCCCATTCTCCTCCTTGGAGAAGAAGGTGAGAACCAGGCAAGCCTGTAATGATGCTTCTTCAGACCATGGTGTTTCTCTGCATAATTTCAAAATTAAGACTATGGCTCTTTCTTGGTGCTCCCTTCTGGATTACAAACTACTGAAATGGTGACTTAAAAATTCTGCTATCTGATTAGCTTTAGCATTTACTTTGAATAAATAAATTGTGTTAAGGTTACAGGCACACCAATAGTATAAGTCATATGGTTTTTCAGACCTTTATGATGATGTTGGCCACGTGCCATTCATGGTGTTGCCCCTCACGGATTTAAACCTAGACAGGAGGGGCTTGCAGGCCTAAGCAGTAGGCTGTGTGGGAGTAGCAGGGGAGGAGGCATTTTGGATGTCTGGCTCAGCATGAAGCCTGTACTTTGCAGTTTCCTGTCTCTGTGGAAGCTGCAGCAGAAAATGATGCCAGAGTAGTTGGAATCATTTTTGCAGGGAAAACCTATTAGCTGGACTGTCCTGAATGACTGACAGTTTCCTTTCCCTTAGGCTAGTGGGGTCACAAAAGAGCCTAAGAGATCTTTATGACACTCAAGCGTATATACATTTTTTTTTTTTTTTCAGTCCTCTCTCCCTCTTGAAACTGTAAAGGAGTTAAGTTAGCATTGTAATTTTTTTTAACCCTTCCCATATAAGATGGCAGTATTTTACCTCTCTTTGCAAATAGGGTTTTGAATCTCACAGCAGCAGTAGTTTTTAATCCCTCATTGCTGATAGTAACAGCTGTGTTATCATGTGAAATGTAGCTTGTCTTCCACAAGTAAATGGTCTGCTTTCATTACTTGAGTATGTGAAACTTTTTTTAGTGGCATTTAACTGCCACGTAAATCAAAGGTCTTGATCCTGAGGAGCACCCTGCAAGACTAGACTCCTGGCAGAAAACGGATTGTTTTTGCAGTTTTCTGCAAAAAGTGGTCGGTTTTGTTCTGTGAATGAATGGGCAACATGGTTAAATCATATTGCTTTGCATGTACCATGCATAATAGAATAGGAGACTGTTACCTTTATGCGTGTGCTTACCTTAGAAAATTCTGAATTAACTTGGACATCTGCACAGGCTTCTCAAGACCTCCAGCGAACGTGCCTTGTGTGTTTCAGTGAGCTGTTTTTCAGCCTGCTTGGGTTAGTTGATTAAAAAAAAAAAAAAACTTACAATACTTTTATGTAAGTCAGAGGTGCAACCTCATTGGTTATTTTTATGATCTTTTTTTGCTTTGAGATACTGTCCCAGGTTATTTGAACTCTTTAGCAAGAGGTGACCCGAATGCATAAGGGCATGGAAAAGCTTGCTTGTGAAAAGGCTGAGCTATTTTACTTTTGGAAGTGAATGAGCAGGCGTAACAGTAAAGTATGAATGGTCTGGAAACAGCAGAGCTAGAGCTTCAGTCCTGCCTGTCCTTGTGATGGAAGAATTGGGG